ACATGCCATGAGATATCTTAAGGAAAAAATTATTCTTAAGCCATATCTTAAAGAATAGCTGGAATTGTTCAGGAGGAGAGTCAGTTAAACTATTACAAAGATGTTTAAGTGTTTCCTTATATTGTAGTCTCCCCCCACCCACCCATTATACTAGAGCTAGAACACTGATAGCTGAGAAATCTTAGACAGACTCACAGGAAATAAGTGGTCAACAGAGGTACTCCTCCATGAGAAAGTTCATAATACACATTTTAAATATAACAATTTCAGTCAGTATGATCTTTTGTCCACTTTTAAAAATTTATTGTTTTCAATAATTAAGTCAACATACAAAGTAATGTGATACATTCTGACATTTCACACATAAATGTTATACTTTGTTTCCCTCCCTTGCCACCCTCCCCAATCCCTCTACCCCACTCTTTCTTTTTCCCTTCACTTATTAATAGCCCACCCCTCTTTCATATCACATGTATTCTATTGCTATATCCCCCCCACCTTTTAAAAGTTCTACTCCTCCCATCTCATGGCCCCTTTCTAGTTTCAACACCTACCCCCACCCACCCAGATATACACATATAAGAGAAAACATGCAGTTTTTGTCATTCTTAAACTGGCTTATTTCACTCAATATAATGATTTAGTTTCATCCACTTTTCCCCCCTGATAATGCCATAATTTTACTTTTCCTCTTGGCTAAATAAAGTCCCATGATGTGTATAATCACAATTACTTTATCCTTTCATATATTTATGAATACGGAAGCTGGTTCTATTTCCTCCCTATTATGAATAATGCATTAATAAATATGGACATAGAAATATCCCTGTAGTAGTAGAGTCCTCTTAATAAATAGCCAGGAGAGATAAAGTTGGATCATATGGTAGTTCTATTCTTAAGTTTTTTGTGAAACATTTAATTTCCATGAGGGCTCTGCCAGTTAAGTTCCTAACAGCAATGTTTAAGGGTTTCCTTCTTCTCATAGTTTTGCCAGAATTTGTTATCTTGACAACAGTTCTGATTGGGTGAAATAGAATCTCAGAGTAGTTTTAATTTGCATTTTCCTGCTAGATAAGAATGTTGAACACATTGTAAAATATTTATTGGACATTTGTGTTTATTGACTTTCACCTGTTGATTTTGGTGTTGAATTTCTACAGTGCTTGATAGGGTCTATGTATTCATATAGAAGTACAAAAGACCCCAGAAAGCCAAAGTGATTCTTAGCAGAAAGAAACTGGCGAAATACCTGACTGACCTTACATTATATAATGAAGTGATAGTAACAAAAACTGTGTGGTACTGGCACAAAGACAAGCATGTAGACCAATGGAATTTAGTAGAGGACTTAAAAATAAGCACACACAGTGACAGCCAACTAATTTTTGACAAACGTGACAAGACATGCATTGGAAAAGATACTCAGCAACAGATTCTGGGAAAACTGAATATCCACATTAAAACAATGAAACTAGATTCCTGTTCCTCAGCCTACACACAAAAAAATCAAAGCAGATCAAAGACCTTAATACAGAAATTGAAAATTTGAAACTGCAGGATGGAAATATACAAAAATGCTCTTCAAAATATAGGCAGGGCATAGGCATAGACAAGGACCTTCTGCACAGGGCTCCAGTAGCAGAGGAAATGATCTCACAGGATCACATTCAATTAAAAACAGCTCATACACAGCAATGGTCACCATAGTGAAGAGACTACCTAGTGGAAAAAAATCTTTGCCAGTTATATCAGAGGTTTTTTTTTTTTCAATTGTTCTTTGCTTTTTGCTTTTCTTAATCTTTAAAATGACATTTTGAACTATTGTAGAAAATATCAATCAATTAATTATATAATGATAAATCATTAACCTACCACTTAATTTTTTTTTTGCTTTGTTGCCCATCTCCCTAAATTTTTATCGGCATCTTTTGATATTGGATATTGTGTTTAAAAGCAGCCCTTAACATGCCTCACCTCTAAACA